CAGTATATTTTATTTTTGGTTTCTCAGTCTGTAGACCAGGTTAGCCTCGAATCCAGAGATCCTCCTGCCTCTCCCTCCTGAGTTCTGGGATTAAAGGGTGTACCACCACTGCCTGGTCTACCAGTGTACTTTAGAAACATACATTTCGTGTAACAGGTTTACATAGAGAGAAATTCTGCCTCAGAATGAAGTGTACCTCAGTCTTACCTTTTAGAACATTTAGATGAAACTCTGAACCTGAACGAGTTCAAATTTGGAGTCTTTTGAAGTGGAATGAATAGTACTTTCCATGTGAGGAAACTGAAGTTAGGAGCCGGGGACGAAATCCGATTGGCTGAATTGTCTTACCTAAAGTCCAGTGCCCCGGATGACTCTGTGTGCTGAGTCACCTTGCAGCTGCTGCAGCTCAGAATGCAATGACACTGGGTTAGGCCATCATCCTCTGAACTCTGAGGTGATGGACATCAGTCCATAGTAGATGCCGTTTCCACAACTTAGACTAAGGGGTTTAGGCTGAATTTAGTAAGTTTGACTTATTAAAATGGCATGCTAGGCAAGTGGGGGTGCACACCAGTAGTCCCTTGGCTGGGTTGGGTAGATGCACGGCATTGCCAGTCCAGGACTACCTGACTTACAAAACTGTCTCCACACACACCCTACCACCATCACCTCTCCCCTGTGCTCACCAGCCCATGTTCTGGAGCTGCCAGACTCTTCACTACCCCTCAGTCTTTCGGAAGCATCCAGAGTTATCCCATCATAGTCTGTAGGCTTTTTGCCTCATCTGCTCCCTAAAAGGATTGGGCCTCAAAACTAGAAGGGCTTCTCTCAGGAGCACAGCTTTTGAAGTCATTGAAACACATAGTTCCTGGCTCCAGGCATCTTTCTTGTCCCCACGTCCAGGATCATGACCTGCAAGAACAGGTTCCAGCATGACCTGGTGGAGTCAAAGCAGGAAAGGCAAACAATTGCCAGGGTTACTTCTAAGCCCTGGCATTTCTCAGGCTAGCAATGCAGTAGTGGGGCCCAAAGATGGAACTGCGCAGTCTCATGTGCAGGGCCCTGCCTGCACTCCCTAAAACCAACAAGGTAGCCAGAAGACAAAAGAACACTGTACCAAACTGGTGTAGGTAAAAGAAAGGGAAAGCTGTTTGAGGCGATAATAAAAATATTTTTCTTAATCTTTATGGCTATGTAATTTAAGGTGTACTAACAGGAATAACTATTTTTAAAAGATATATTTAAGGAAAAAGTGTGGTGTGGGGACCAGGACTCAAAGAGGGAGGAGCTAGGGATATAAAAGAAGCCAAGCTCACCAGGCGGTGGTGGCACACACCTTTAATTCCAGCACTCAGGAGCCAGAGAGAGGTGGATCTCTGTGAGTTCAAGGCCAGCCTGGTCTACAGCGTGAGTTCTGGGACAGCCAGGGATGCACAGAGAAACCAAAAAGCGGCTGGGCCCCAGTGCGGTTGTTCCACGTTTCCCTTCTGGTCTAAGATGACGTGACCAGCCCTGCCTTGAGTGTGACCTTGGCTTGGAAAAGTGTCTGTGTCTTACACACTGTCAGCGAGATCTCATGGGAGACTTTGTAATGAAGAAAAAATATTTTCAAGGCATCTTCAAAGACTTTACAAATAATCATTAATTAAATTATTGTTTTGGTTTTGATGTTTTGTTTTCTGAAACAAGGCCTCGCTATGCAGCCCTAGTTGGAACTTGCAGTGTATGTCTGTCCTCCTGCCTTTCCCTCAAGTGACGGTGGTAGACGTAAGGCACAACAGTGCTCAGCTTCCTCTTGTTAACGTGTATTTAGTCAGTGTGTCTTTATGTGTGCATACATGCCAGACGATAATTTGCAGGAGTCATTCTGTCCTTCCACCATGTGGATTGAACTTAGGTCATCAGAACTGGTAGGAAACACCTTTGTCCACTAACTCATTGCACCAACCATTCGCATTTTGGTTTGGTGTGTGTGTGTGTTTGTGTATGTGTATGTGTGTGTGTACACATGCGTGTGTGCCTATGGAGGTCAGAGCTGTCACATCTCCTGGGAGCTGGAGTTACATAGTCTTGTGAGCCATCCATTGTGGATGCCAGAAACTGACCTCAGTTTCTCTGTAAGAGCAGTCTGTGCTCTTAACCACAGAGCCGTCTTTCTGAACTACCCCACCACACCTATACCTACCTATTTTGAGACAGGGTTTCACTTTGAAACCCAGACTGGCCCTGTAGCTGACTGAGAATGCTAGTCTACCTCAGCCTCTCGGGTGCTGGCTTTATATGTATGTGTTATCAAACTTATGGAAATCCAAATTTATGTGAAGGAATCTTATGCTTTCATTGGCAATTCTACATTTGATCTTTGCCAGAAGGCCAGGGAACAAAGTTTTCTAGGCAGTTCTGACAAATGCATTTCAGTAGAGGGCATGCCGGGCTGTAGGAGCCCTGGGTTCTGTCCCCAGCACTGACTAGAGCTAGGCATGGCTATAATCCTGTGCCTACCTGTAATCCTGTGTACACCTGTAATCCTGTGTATACCTGTAATCCTGTGCATGCCTGTAATCCTGTGTATACCTGTAATCCTGTGCATGCCTGTAATCCTGTGCCTACCTGTAATCCTGTGTATACCTGTAATCCTGTGTATACCTGTAATCCTGTGTATACCTGTAATCCTGTGTATACCTGTAATCCTGTGCACACCTGTAATCCTGTGTATACCTGTAATCCTGTGCATGCCTGTAATCCTGTGCCTACCTGTAATCCTGTGTATACCTGTAATCCTGTGCATACCTGTAATCCTGTGCACACCTGTAATCCTGTGCATACCTGTAATCCTGTGTATACCTGTAATCCTGTGCACACCTGTAATCCTGTGCCTACCTGTAATCCTGTGCCTACCTGTAATCCTGTGCACACCTGTAATCCTGTGCCTACCTGTAATCCTGTGCCTACCTGTAATCCTGTGCACACCTGTAATCCTGTGTATATCTGTAATCCTGTGCCTACCTGTAATCCTGTGCCTACCTGTAATCCTGTGCCTACCTGTAATCCTGTGCACACCTGTAATCCTGTGCCTACCTGTAATCCTGTGCCTACCTGTAATCCTGTGCCTACCTGTAATCCTGTGCACACCTGTAATCCTGTGTATACCTGTAAACCTGTGCACACCTGTAATCCTGTGCCTACCAGTAATCCTATGCACACCTGTAATCCTGTGCCTACCAGTAATCCTGTGCCTACCGGTAATCCTGTGCCTACCTGTAATCCTGTGCACACCTGTAATCCTGTGCCTACCAGTAATCCTGTGCCTACCAGTAATCCTGTGCCTACCTGTAAACCTGTGCACACCTGTAATCCTGTGTATACCTGTAATCCTGTGCATACCTGTAATCCTGTGCATACCTGTAACCCTGTGCCTACCTATAATCCTGTGCCTACCTGTAATTCTGTGCCTACCTGTAACCCTGTGCCTACCTGTAATCCTGTGTATACCTGTAATCCTGTGCCTACCTGTAATCCTGTGCACACCTGTAATCCTGTGCCTACCTATAATCCTGTGTATACCTGTAATCCTGTGCCTACCTGTAATCCTGTGCACACCTGTAATCCTGTGCACACCTGTAATCCCATCACTGAAGAGGTAGAAGCAGGAAGATCAGAAGGTCAAGCTCATCCCCAGCTACATGGTGATTTCAGAGTTAACATGGGCTATGTGAAACCTTGTCCTGATGACACCACACACATACACACACACACACACAGTCACAAACCCCCTACTAAACACACAAAGCATTTTTGCATTAAGCATTCTCTAGTTCACTGATTCTCAACCTGTGAGTCAAGACCTTTAGGGTGGAAAGACCACTTCATATCATATATCACATTCAGATATTGTTTGTGTGGGATATTTACAGTTATGAAGTAGCAATGAAATATGCTATGGCTGGGGTCACCACCACCTGAGGAGCCATATAAAGGTCGCGGCGTCAGGAAGGATGAGAACCACTACGCTAGTTTATACTCACCTAGTTCTGAAATAATATATATTTTACGTATATCCTGTAAGCCCTGGTTTAAAACTTGCTCTGCAGCCCAGCCCATCCTCAAACTGTGGCAATCCTCCTGGCTTACTGTCCTGGATGCTGGCCTTACAGCCACTAGCCAACCTGGCTCAAAACTCTTTTTATGGTTTATTTTATTAAAACCAAAACACCTAAATAAATGAAGAAGATTTATTTTTGTTTTATATCTGTGTGTTGAGGTAGGGTACCTACTGAAACTTCTTGGAGCTAGAGTTATAGGTGGTTGTGAGCCACTTGAGGAAGGTGCTGGAATCCAAATACTGGTCTTTGGGAAGAGGCAGCAAGTGTTCTTACCCACCAACTCACCTCTCTAGTCCCTAACCTTTATTTCAGGTTAATGTAGTAGTAGTAGTAGTGTGTGTGTGTGCGCGCACGCACACACGAGTGTGCCACAGAAGCTACTTTGGGAATGGGTTTTGTCTTTTCATGGTAGTTCAAGGACCTAATTCATGACTTTGTGTAGCACTTTTATCCACTGAGTCATTAAGATATGTGTTGTGTTTGGTTACTCCTTAGAATCCATGCATAATGGTTGGTTTTAGAAATTGGGGCTGGACCAGGCATGGTGGCACACAAGTTTAATCAAAGCACTTGAGAAAAGGCAACTGTCCATGAGTTTGAGGCCAGCCTCATCTTCATAGTGAGTTCCAGGACCTTGACTCAAAAAAACAAAAACAAAAATGGAGGGATGGAATTTGAATCCGTGTCCCATGACTCACGATCACCTGTTACTCCAGTTGCAGGTCGCCGGTGCTGCCTCTGGCCTCTGTGGGCACCTACACACAGGTGGCAGACACACAGACACCACAATTGCACAGAAACAAAAGATAAAAGTATATCTTTTTAAAAGTTTAGAAATAACTAAAATCACTAAATTTCACTTTTATATTGTCATTCTTTACAAAATATCTTTTTCAGGAACTGAAGTAAAAAAAATTGAAGCTATAAATGTCCCATGCACACAGCTTTCAATGTCATTTTTCCAGCGGTTATACAGTGAAAATATTGTTCGAGAGAGTGGACACATTGTCAAGTGCTTGGATTCTTTCTGCGATCCCTTTCTCATTTCAGATGAACTGAGAAAAGTAAGTACAGAGTTTTAAAATTTCACAGTGGGAGTTTATGGAAGGAAAGGAGAAAGGACCTTCAGCCGCTCAACCTGGAGTTCACTCTAGCTAGTCGACCTTCTCAGGGTGGACTGATGTGGACTGATGTGGACTGATGTGGACTGCTGACGAGACTGTGGCGGTCGGGCTGACGCTACACGTGCACAGGACGTCACTCCCGCACTCCCGACAGGTATCAGGCCCAGTGTGTCAACAGCAGAGAAACTCCGGCCTGTTTAATGATGAGCTATTGTCGTCCCTATCAGTCTCTACATCAAATGGATATTAAGAATATGCCTAAAAAGTTGATAATAGTGGCACATGCCTGTAATCCTAGCACTCAGGAGGCAGAGACAGGGAATCTAATCAGGAGTTCAAGGCCAGTCCTAGGCTACAAAGGGAGACCTATCTCAAAAGTAAGACCAACAAAACTAAACTAAAAATGGAGCTTGGGACATAGCACAGTTGAGAGAATATTTAATCTCGTGAACAAAGCCCTGGGTTTGATCTCCAGCACTTCATACACATGGCGTGATGGCACATGCCTATTAGCCTAGCCCTTGGGTTAAAGGTCACCTCATCTGTGTAGTTCAAGGTTAGCTTGGGGTACAGGAGACCCTGCCCAAGAATTAAAAGAAAAAAAGATATTAGTAATTTGGTTTTTTGTTGGTTTTTCAAGATAGGGTTTCTCTGTAGCTTTGGAGCCTGTCTCTATGCTTGCAGACCAAGCTGGTCTCGAATTCACAGAGATCTGTCTGCCTCCACCTCCTGAGTGCTGGGATTAAAGACGTGCGCCGCCATCACCTAGCAGTAGTTTGGTTTTTAAACAGATATATTTCATATGTATGAATCTTTTATCTGTATGCATGTGTATGCACCACATGTGGGCCTAGTGCTCATGAAGACCAAACAAGGTCTGGATCCCCTGGTATTGGAGTTACAGATGGTTGTGAACCACCATACAGGTGCTGGGAACTGAGCCTGAGTCCTTTGCAAAAGAGGGAAGTCTTGTTGCACAGGCTGACCTTGAACTCACTGTGTGGTTTAGGGTGGCCTCAAGCTTCTAAAAGCTCAAAATCATAACCCTGTATTATACATTGCATTGCTTGAAGATGATTTTTATCATCTTAGGTTTTGCTCATGGAAGACTCTGAAAAATATGAAGTCTTCAGCCTACTGGAAAGGGAAGAGTTCCTGTTCCGTCTTTTTAAGCATCTCTGCCTTGGAGGCTCCCTTTGTCAGTATGAAGATATGATTAAGCCGTATCTAGAGACAGCGAAGCTGATCTATAAGGATCTGGTGAGGTAATGTTCTCAGTGTGTAAATTCTTCCCAGTAGAGAAAATCCTTTTTGTTTACCCTGGTGGAATTACCCAGCATCGCTTGTGTTCGTATTGGCGACTCCACTGGCCCTTTGCAGCCTGCCTCTCTCTTCTCCAGGCCAGAAGATTTTATGTCTATGTTTTTGTTTTCAATTTTGTTTGTTTCGTGCCAGTGCTGGTATTGGACTAAGACCTTGATTTATAGGCAAATATTCTACCATTGAGGTAGCAGCCTTGTCTTTTGGGTCATTATCAGTTGTTTTGTTTTTTTTTTTTTTTTTTTTTTTTTTTTTTTTGCTTTTTCAAGACAGGGTTTCTCTGTGGTTTTGGAGCCTGTCCTGGAACTAGCTCTTGTAGACCAGGCTGGTCTCGAACTCACAGAGATCCGCCTGCCTCTGCCTCCCAAGTGCTGGGATTAAAGGCGTGCGCCACCACTGCCCGGCCTCCTTCTTTTCAATACCAAAGGAACACAAGTGATCCCAAAGGATGTGTGACTTTGCTCGTGTGTGTGTGTGTGTGTGTGTGTGTGTGTGTGTGAGAGAGAGAGAGAGAGAGAGAGAGAGAGAGAGAGAAAGAGAAAGAGAATGTGTGCAAAACCTTTATTCAAAAGAAGTGGAAGGATTTTAATTTAGATGTAATCTTTTGCCCTCCCAAATTAATCCCAAAGACGGGTAGTGAATTTTAAGTATTCTAAGGCTCACCTTCCCTCCTTCCCACCCTTCCTTACTTTCTGAAACTCAAATGAAGATTAAACTATAAACTGGAGCCTGGAGAGAAGGTCAGCACTTGGGAGAGTCTTCTGCTCTCTAAGAGGACCCAGCTCAGTTCCCAACACCCACATAGCAGCTCACTATCACCTGTAACTCCACTTCCAGGGGACCTATGGTCCTTTTCTGGCTTCTTTGGGCACTGTATGGTATATATACATGCATATAGGCAAACATTCAGACACATAAAATATAAATAAAGAAATCTTTTTTTAAAAAAAAAACATAATTTCAAGATTAGGAATTGGGAGCCATGCCTCTAATTCCAACCCTGAGGAGGTTGAATCATGAGGATCACTGCAGGTTCTAGGCTATCCTGGTCTACATACTGATTCCAGCCCTGAGGAGGCAAGGGTATGAAGATCACTGCAGGTTCTAGGCTAACCTGGTCTACACATTCTGATTCCAGGCTAGCCTAGGCTCTTTAGTGAAACTCTGCCTCAAAAAAAAAGAAAGGAAGAAAGAAAAGAAAAAGAGAACGAGAAAGAAAGGAAAGAAAAAGAAAAAAGGTCACAGAAACACGGAGGTAGCAAGCTGCTCAGCAGGTAACCATGCTAGCTAGCCAAACCACCTGAGCTCTGAGCTCAGTCCTGGAACCCATGGAAAGGGAGTAGGGGAGAGCAGACTCCACAGAGTGACTTCTGACCTCTACACTGATGCTAGGGAAAAGAAAGGAAATAAAAAGAAAGCATTTTCAGGAATATGCACCCAACATGCGAGGCAGTGCACTCTGTGAGCCCAGGAGACGGAGGCTCTCCGCACCCCAGCCGTGCACACGCTACCACACTACCATTCTGCTGCCACAGGAGTCTGTGGAATGTCTCACTGCTGTGTGTGGTAAGGAAGGGTTCACTGAGGTATTTGAAACAAACAGTTTAGAACTTAAATAGAAATGCTCTTTCTTTCTGAACCCTCCTGCAGACTCCTTTACATTTACAAAGGTTCTATTGGTAGCTTTGAATCATACATAATAATAGGCTTTATGATGATAATTTAATATACGTGTGTCCAATGTGTTTTGATTGTCTTCTCCCCATTGCCCTCTTGTACATTTTGGTGTGTTAAATTTTAAAAAGCCCTGAAGAGTAACAACCATTCATGAAAAGAGGAGCTAAGCTGATGATGCCTCTTTTTTATGATTTATCTGTGTGTGTACACATGCAAGTCCAAGGAGGCCAGGAAAGGGTGTTGGCTTGACGAGGCAAGTGACGTGGGTCCTGGAATCAAACCCAGATCCTCGGCCAAAGCAGCAATCACTCTCTTTTTAAGAATATTATAAGGGCATTTTGTCTGCGTGTCTGCCTGCTGCCTGGAGCCAGAAGAGGGTATCAGATTCCCTGGATGTTTGTAAGCAGCCTGCCATGCACATCCTGGAAAACTGAGCTCAGATCCCCTGCCAGAGCAGTGGGTGCTCACAGCCGCTGAGCCATCGCTCCAGACCCCAGGCTTGTTATGTTTTAAATGTGCCTTTTTTCCCTCCTCTTAGTGTTCGGAAACATCCTCGAACCAAGGAAATACAAATTACCTCTTCCGTCTTTAAAGTGAAGGCCTACGTGAGTATTGAGCTTCTTGATTACTCATAGATGGAGCCGCTATGTTTGTGTTGTACAGAGACTGTTATACCCGGGAGAAACAATGCCTCTGCTGACTATTCTATAACATTCTAACGTTATTGGGTACAGCTTCATGGGAGTGAGTGAGTCAGGGCTGGAACCTGGAGCCAGGGCAGAAGCAGAGACTGAAGGAGTGTCCCTGACTGGTTTCCCTCATTGCTCTTCTCCAAGGCCCTATGAAGAGCACTAAGGGCTTTCCCAGCCCAATGATCCAGACTCCTTCCACAGTCCTCCCCAAACAACATCTGGGATGAGCTTCTCCATTTGTTTGCTCTCTGCTGTGCTGAAACACTGACTAATCCAGCTGAGGGGAAGAGAGGCTTTATTTTATTCACCTTACATGTCCAAGCCTCAGTCCACTGTCAAGGAAGCCGAGACACAAGCACAAGCCTCGTGGCTTATTCAGCCTGTTTTCTTGTGCAGTCCGGACCCTGCCCAGTGTTGGCACCACCTGCAGTGGGCTAGGTCCTCTCCCATCCATCATTAGTCAGGATAATGTCCCACGGAGCAATCTGATGGAGGTAATTCCTGAATAGAGATCCCCTCTCCTAGGTGTGAGCCAAGTTGACAAAAGCAAACAGCACCCGTGGCAGGCACTTCACTCACCGAGTAGCTCAGTGGTCCATGGAAACTACCTGATAGAGTCGGGGAAGGGACACCAGGGGACTTAGGCAGAGGGCTACTGAGCTCTAGTGTAGCCTGGTCTACATGGTAAAACACAAGTAAGAAAAAAGCCAGCAGTGATGGCTCACACCTGTCATCCCAGCAGGCAGGCAGAATCCATCAGTTGAGGCCAGCCTGGGGCACACACTTACACAAAGCACAACAGAACAGCAACTGGAAAGCATGTGATTGCACTAGCCACTCCTTGAGGCCAGAGTCAAGAGTTGGGATACATGCGCACAATGGATTTGTACTGCTAGTACAACTGTTGGCGGTTTATTGACAATTTATTCTCAAAAACTTTTAGGTATGTTTAATGATTCTTGTTTATTGAGACAGACATCTTGCTGTGCATTCCACACTGGCCTCAAACTTGATCTCCTGCCTCAGCCCCCAGCGAACTGGGGTTAAAGGTGTGTGCCATGGGCAGAAAAATGTGTGACAGTCAAAGACTTCAATGCGGTTGAACACTGAAAAATTCAGGCCTGTCATCTTTTCAGGACTCTGCTGGCTTGTGCTACCCTTCAGCTAAGGAGCATGAGCAGACGTTCTCCTACTTCGTCGTGGACCCCATCAAGCGTCACGTGAACGTCCTGTACCATTGCTATGGTGTGGGGGAGATGGCTTAGTCTGGTTTGTGCCATCTGTTGTGTCTCCTCGTCAGCACTGACAGACAGACAGATGTGCTCTTGCAGATCCGTCAGAAGCAGCTGGAAAGACTATGTCGAGTTGAAGAAAGCAAACACTAAAGTGCCTTTCTCTTCGTTAGCCTGGCACACTCACACAAGAACCCCTGGTGGAGCCTGTACAAAGCAGAACGTCACAGTTTATGTTTGTTCTATCAACATGGAGCCAGTCTCAATTTCCTATTTTTTAAAATTGTTTGAGAGGCAAAGGCAGGCAGGTCTCTGTGAGTTTATGGCCAGCCTGGTCTACAGAGCTAGTTCCAGGACAGCCAGGCTACACAGAGAAACCCTGTCTCAGAAACCAAATTAATCAATTAATTACTTAGTTAACTTAAAAAATTGGTTTTAGTGTTTGAGGAAGTATCTCATGTGAGCGTTGAACTCCCTATGCAACTGAAGCTGGTCTTGAACTCCTGATCCTCTTGCCTCTACCTCTTTAGTGTTGGAATGCAAGCATGTACCACCAGGCCTTGCTCTGTGTGCTTTGTTTGGGGAACTAATTAATTCTGGTTTAGAATAGAAACATTAGACATCACCACTACCAGTCATTAATGTGAATTAATACAATTTTTAAACTTCAGTTCATGTAATTATATTTTTATCATCCCAGAAAGGTATATGTATTTCCAGTGTGGTGGCACACACCTTCAGTCCCAATACTTGGGAGGCAGAGGCAGGCGGATCTCTGTGAGTTTGAGGCCAGCCTAGTCTACAAAATGAGTTCCAGGACAGCCAGGGCTTGAAAAGAAAAAGGAAGGTTTATGTCTCTACACGTAGGAAAAACAGAGAATTCTTTTGCTTCATTTTTTTCACTTAAAATCCTCAATTAAAAATCATTATAAATTCTTAATATATAACAAGTTAAATCTCTGGCTGCCATAGAGTTTCTAACTGAAACATAGTAGTGATATGTATGTTGCGGGTCCATTGGAGGTGGTGTTGCTAGCAGTGGAACTAGCAGTGGAACCCAGCATTCTATGCATGCTAGACAACTGCTCTATCCACTAAGGTATGTCGGCACAGGGTCACATGTAGCCCAGTCTGGCCTCATACCTGATGTATAGCCAAGTATGACTGTGAACTCCTGACCCCTTGCTTCTACATCCCAGGTGCCGGGTGACAGTTGTAGGCCCTGAAAACTGGCTAGGCCTTGTATTCTCAAGTCTACCATTACTTACACCGTAACCCTGAGGGGATTGCTTAACTTTTCTTTCCTAAGTGACATTCTCTGTAAAATGTAGGAGATTCCTTCATAAATTGTTTTGAAAATTATAAAAATTAAAACGTATCTTGAGTGTACAATGGTGCCAAGTATACAGTTTAATGCTGCTAGCTGGGTGGTGGTGCCACACACTGTTAATCCCAGCACTTGGGAGGAGAGGCAGATGAACCTCTGCATTTGAAACCAGCCTGGTCTACAAAAGTGAGTTCCAGGGCAACCAGGGCTGTTACACAAAGAAAAACCTAGTCTTGAAAAACAAAAACAAGCCGGGCGTCGGTGGCTCACGCCTTTAATCCCAGCACTCGGGAGGCAGAGGCAGGCGGATCTCTGTGAGTTTGAGGCCAGCCTGGTCTACAAAGGGAGTTCCAGGACAGGCTCCAAAGCTCCAGAGAAACCGTGTCTCGAAAAACCAAAAATAGAAAAAAGAAAAAAGAAACACAAAAACAAAACAAAACAACAACAAAAAAAACAGGCCCTTTGTCTAGTTGCACTTTTCTATTAATTTGTTTGTTTTATATGTAGAGGGTTTGTTTGAGGAAGGGTCATAGACCCAGCTGGCCTCCCACTGGTCTGGTCCTCCTTCCTCTGCCTCCAGAGCACAGGGATTTCAGGGGCAGCCCCAAAGCGGCTGCCGTGGACCCATCTACACTCTGTGTTCTCAGGCGCTGGGCCTTGGAAAGACAGAGGTCTTGGACAAGGAGAAGCGGGTCCTTGGAGTGACCTTGATGAGCATGCACAGTGAGGTCGAGGGTCCCTCAGGGGCAGGGGGAAGGGAGGGCACAGAGACGGAGCCCCTCTGTAATGCATACCAGCACTTGAGTCAGCTGCTGTCTACATGCCCCATCTTAAGCTCTCTCTGCTCGGTCCCTCCAGTTATCCCTGAAGCATTTATTGGAGTTTTGAACTGTCAGAACCTGTATTTAGTAGTGCACTATGGTGTGAGATCTGAAGCCTAGGAACATACCTCAGGCCACACGATGTCTGGAAAATAGCCGTAGCCTGTGGAAAGGGCTGGGCTGGGACAGCTGACCCTGTGACAGCCGACGTGACCAGTGTCATATGAATGGTTTTCTGGGACTTCAAAATGTTCTTCAGAAATCCCAGCTGCTACTTAAGGAGGAAGGTCAGGGATTGTAATTAGGATATTAGATGAGACACGGGCAAAGGCTGGGAAATGAGGGGCACTGTAGTGCTCCCAGCGTATGGGAGACTCGGGAAACGCAGGTGCACCCGAGAGGGCAGCTGAACTGGTGGCGTTCTGACCAGGACGCTGCGCAATTCAGGAAGGCAGCTCTGCAAACAGAGGCCACCACACCGAGTGTGCAACTCCATCTGTCACAGGTAGCACATTGCCATCATCAGTAGACTGAGCAGGGGTGGTAACGCCTTAAAGCAGTACTCTGGAAAGACGACTCGTGTTGTGCTAAGCTGAAGGAAGTCCAGAGATCAGAGGCACGCTGGGAGCTATCAAGCAGCGGATCACCAGCTGTGACTCATACCAACATCACAAAGTAGACAGTGCTCAGGGAGAAGACAAAACAGGACTGGGGATGTCACTTCACTGGTTGAATGCGCCCTCGAAGACAGGCACAAAGCCCTGGGTTTGATCCCCAGCACCTCAGGAACCAGAGAACTGGAGGCAGGAGGATCATGACTTCAAGGCCATCTGAGGCCAGCCTGAGAGATGTGAATTCCTGTCTCTAAACATAAATAATAGCAAAGAATCCCAGCACTTGGGAAACAGAAGCAGACAGATTTCTGAGTTCGAGACCAGCCTGGTCTACAGAATGAGTTCCAGGACAGCTGGGGCTACACAGAGAAACCTGTCTCAGAAGACCGAAACAAAAGCCAGCAACAAAATGAAATTGATGAGCCAACAAGATGTCTCTGTGCTGAAAGGGGCTTGGTGACAAGTCTAGCAGACCTGATGTCAACTCCCAGGACACAAACAGTGGGAGAAGACAGTTAACTGCAAGATGTCCTCTGACCTCCATACCCAAATCATGGCTTATGCTTGTCTGCTCATCTACACACACACAATAAATAAGTAGAATTTTTAAAAAATGTAAATCAAGTCAGGCAGTCGTGGCACATGCCTTTAATCTCAGCACTCAGGAGACAGAAGCACAAGGATCTCTGTGAGTTTGAGGCCAGCCTGGTCTACAAGAGCTAATTCCAGGACAGGCTCCAAAGCTATAGAGAAACTCTGTCTCAAAGCTGCACCCCACCCCACCCCCCGCAAAAAAAAATTAAAATTAGGTCTGGGAGTATAGCCCCATACGAGAGCACTTGCCTACAGTGCTGTGAATTCCTGAGTTCAACCTGAACATTGCAAAAGAGGAAATAGAGTAAGACAAGATCAGTGTGGCCCCAAAAAGAAAGGGTTAGGCAAGTGGGTGAGTTCTGAGGTGACAGGCTCTGAGGACGGGAAGTGGGATTTGTGGGAGGAAGTTGTGGTTAGACGGGGAAATCCCTCAGTGGAGCCCTTCCTCTTTCTTTTCTTTATTCCTTGAGCCTTTGTTTTCTGATTCACAACCCTGTAGGCACTGTGCCGTGGGTGCTGTTCTGTGGGTGCTGTTCTGTGGGCGCTGTGCCGTGGGCATCATGCTGTGGGTGCCATGGGCACTGTGCTGTGGGCGTTGTGTTGTGGGCGCTGTGCCGTGGGCACCATGCTGTGGGTGCCGTGGGTGCTGTGCTGTGGATGCTATGCCGTGGGCACCATGCTGTGGGTGCCGTGGGTGCTGTGCAGTGGGTGCCATGGGCGCTATGCTGTGGGCGCTGTGCTGTGGGTGCCGTGGGCGCTGTGCTGTGGGTGCCGTGGGCGCTGTGCTGTGGGTGCCGTGGGCGCTATGCTGTGGGCGCTGTGCTGTGGGCGCTGTGCTGTGGGTGCCATGGGCGCTATGCTGTGGGCGCTGTGCTGTGGGTGCCGTGGGCGCTGTGCTGTGGGTGCCGTGGGCGCTATGCTGTGGGCGCTGTGCTGTGGGCGCTGTGCTGTGGGTGCCATGGGCGCTATGCTGTGGGCGCTGTGCTGTGGGTGCCGTGGGCGCTGTGCTGTGGGTGCCGTGGGCGCTATGCTGTGGGCGCTGTGCTGTGGGTGCCGTGGGTGCTGTGCTGTGGGCGCTATGCTGTGGGTGCCATGGGTGCTATTCTGTGGGCGCTATGCTGTGGGCACCATGCTGTGGGTGCCGTGGGCGCTGTGCAGTGGGCGCTGTGCTGTGGGCGCTGTGCTGTGGGCGCGGTTCTGAACCAGTGCTCAACCAGCTTCGGTTCTCACACCTTTGAAAACAGATTTGCAGATTCTAAAAGCTGGTTGGAGGCTTCTTAAGGACCACACTATCCTAAATTCTCTTAACCAATTAATCAGCAGTAAATTTATATAATAAAGCTGGTGTGATGGCAGACACCTATAATCCTAACACTTGGGAGGCTGAGACAAGAGGATCCTCTGAGTTCCAGGCCAGCCCGGGATGTAGAGTGAGCCCCTATCTAAAACAAACAAAAACCTGGCATTCATTCCACAGATGTTTATTATTATTGCCTACTGTGTTCCCGCCACGATCCACATATTATGTTAAATAATGGTTTGGAGTGGCGAGTGCTTGTAGTCTCAGTACTAGACAGGCAAGGTGGGGCGTCCTGCAAGCTGGAGGCCAGTCTGACCTGCAGTGATAGCCTGACAAAGCCAACAAAGGGCTCTTCAGAGGTCTGCGCATGCTTCCTGGCACCGTGTCAGGCTGCTCACAGTCCTCTGTACCCCAGCTCCAGGGGAGCCAACACTGTCTTCTGACCTCCCCAGGTATCTGCATGCAAGTGCACACATTCACACATATACACATACTTTATACATAAATAAAAAATTCAGGGTATGCATTTCTCTTGTTCTGCCCATCCTCTACAAGGTTAAATGTTCACCTTTAATGCATTTTTAAGTGTATTTTTATTTGTGTGTGTGTGTGTGTGTGTGTGTGCGCGCGCGCGCGCATGGGAGTGTGTATGTCACATGTTCAAGTGCTCAAGGAGGCCAGAAGAGGGGAGGTCAGATCCCTGGAGCTAAAGTTACAGGCAGTCTAGGCCATGCAGTGTGAGTGCTGGGAACTGAATCATGTCCTCTGGAAGAGCAGGGAGCACCCTTAGTCCCTGAGCTGTGTCCCCAGCTCTGATGGAAGGCTTAAGCAGGGGGGAGGGGGCTTTGCACGTTTTGAAAGACCCCTATGGCCATTATGTGGTAAGCGGTTCAAGAGGCCACGTAAAGTGGGAAGTATCCGAGCTGATGACTATGAGAAGCAGCTGAGCTAGACAGTGTCTCTGAAGATGGAGTATTATGGCAAGTGCTGGGTCCTCTTCCTGAATTTGTCTTGCGAATATATACTCGTTTTATCTAGCAAAAATTATTAATTGCTAGTAGCCTAGAAGATAACTCTACTTAAAAATAGTGCCTTAAAGAGACAATTAAAGTTAGATGAAGGTAGATTGTAACAGGAGACCCATTGGATGGGCCAATCTCATTGGCATTCTTAGAAGGAAAACAGGTTAGAACACAAGACAGGAGGTGGGCAAAATGGTTCGGCTTCCCACAATGGAAGAAACAAGTTCTAAAAGTTCTCCTCTGACTTTCACAATGTGTGGCACATGCGCGCGCACACACACACACACACACACACACACCCATAAATACATTATTTTTTTGAACAGAGATAGACCAACAGGAAGAAATGTGTAGAAACCAGGAATACAAATGAGAATTAGAAAGGTTTTGACCTCAGGCTTCAGGCCTCCCAGTCTGTGGGGAAGGTTTTTGCTGTTCAGACCAGTCAAGTCTGCACAGTTTGCTGTGACGGCCTCCCACAATAATATATGGAGGGAAGTGGATGTTCCAGATGCTTCCCCAAACACTGCTGCAACCAGTGTTACTTACTGGTGGATTTCCAAGAGACT